CATTTTGTAAATCATGATATTTTGTTATTTTCTTCAGTTGTTTTTCATCAATTCAGCTGTCTCCAGGTATTACACTTCTGTCTTGTCTATAACAGCAGTGTTTCATGTATTATGTTCTAGATGCCTATTTGTTATTGTTTTAGTTGCTACTACAAATGCTGTACCAGTTGTGACCATTTCTAGAACAGATTTTGCTCACAGACACTTATATCCCAGTCACATTGCAACTGGACTATGGCAGTTTGTTCTACATGAGACTGTCCTTAAAGGCCATTCAAAAGCTTCAGTTGGTTCAGCATGCAATACCCCAGGTAGTTATGGTTTCATGGAGGTTCCTAATACTGCAGGAACGATATTGGCTGGTAGTGAACTTCTATGTGCAGTTTAAAATGCAAGTTGTCACCCACATGGCTCATGGCCTAGATATCTCTGAGGCTGCCTGCTTCTCTGGGTTGAATCTGCCCACCTGGTGAAATCGGAGAGAGACAACTTGCTGACGGTATCAACACTGAAGGAATGCCACTACTGAGAGCCAACTATCAAGCTTTCTTGGTGATAGCCCCCCACCTTTGAAACACCCTACCCCCACTATTCAAATCATCCCCTCCTTATCAAGCTTCCAAAGAGTTGTAAATCATAATACTTCAGGAGGACATTTTGGAACAAGTGAGGATCACGCTATCCCTGAGTGGAGGTGTGTTGCTGTTGTTGTTTATTAGTATTATTTAATTGGTTCTGTTATTATTGTTCTTTTTTTAATCCTATTCACATCAGTTTGCTGTAAGCCAATGAAAACCTTTTGGTGATGATTGGCATATAAACCAAAGTAAATAAACTATTGTTGCGGTTCCTGTATCTATATAACTATCACAATGTGTTTTTTTTCTCTTTATATACATTTAATACGTGTGTGCAGAACTGAGAACATCTTCTGCAGTTTCAGGGTGAGGCATGTGTTAAATTATAGCCCCTAATGGGAGGCAGCTGCCAGAAGGTGAACATTTAAGTTACGCATTTGTTTAAACTATCCAGTTTTACTGATTACGTGCTGCAGATTGATTGAGGAAATGGAAGACTATTTTAGTAGCCTTGCATAAAAGAATTGTCCTTAAAAAAAGAGGGTGAGGGGACCTCAGATATGAAATGTACTAAACTCCAAAGGACTGTTACTTTTCCCACTCGACAGTCAAATGGTTATTTAATATTAATCTGACAAGTTAGCTAAAACAACCTTTCTCTTGAAAACCCTTTTACAACTGACTAAGCAGGAAAAGCATATGGCTTGTCTTCTTTATAAATGGTTTGTTTGTGACCTTGAAAGAGTCTTAGGAGTCTGTCTTGGTACCACACATGGCCAGGAAGATTGCAACAGGCTTCAGCTCTAACATTCCTCCATCAGTTCTAGCAGTTATTCCTCAGCTTTGGGTGGTTTCCTTCACTCCTGTGTGGCCTCTTTATTGCATTTTAAACCTGAAACTGTTATCTTCTTTGCCCTCTTTGGCACTTTATATATCCACTGCTAGCTTCCTCTAACTTTGTTGATTTCCAAGGAGCCCACTTCCACTTGATTGGTAAGGACACCGACCTGGGTATAAACCCCACTGAAAATAAAAGTGTGTGCTGGAAGCAACCCTAAACAGAACCATTCCAAAAGAACTCTCTTTTGCCAAGGAAAAATGTTCTTGACACTGTATTATTTTATCAACAAGCACATCAGGAAAAGAAAGGGATAGGTTCCAGGTTACATGCTTGTGGCCTATTACCTAGCCAAGAGAACATTAAAAAAGAAATCTTTCTCAAAACATTGTGGAAAAATTCAACCAAACTTAATCGCTTCTTTTAGATTCTCTCCACTTTGAAATGACTTGTGAAAAATGATCAAGAATAAACATGTTTGTCCTTCAAAGTATTTGAAGCCTTGTCGTGAGACTGCCCCAAAAAAGTAGCATAGAAAAAAAGAAAGGTCATTCTCCATTCTTGGTCTGCAGGCTGATTATTTGTTTTCCTAATTCATACATCTCACTCCCCCTCCATCATCGCAACTGCAAGCCTAGCTCATGTATGGTAGCACAGCACACAAAAAGAACATCACAGAAATGGATAATTGTCATTGGTAAAGGTTGGTTCCTTTACCAATGCAGTCGTTTCTCTACTGGAAAAGCAGTCATACTGCAATGGTTCTTCAACTTTTCTATTGACCATTTGATCATCTGGTGTTCTATAAATTAAAGCATATTGATAACTCAGGTTTTAGTAGCCATAAACTGAGTTAACAAGTTGTACTAAGCCATAACAAAGTCTGTATGTTTTTAGCTTTCTAAAATAGGTGATACAACAATCATGGATTAGTGTTAATGGGTGAACCAAGACACTATTGTGTATGTATACATATGTATCCATGTGCGTGTGTGCAGGTCTTGGCTTTGTGAATGCAGCCAAAAATAAATAAAATACAAGACCAATTTGAGGTATTCTTGATTGTTCTGCAAATATTTCTGGCCAATTCATCTGATTACGGCTTGTGCAAAAGAATGGGATGAGTATAAATGTCTCACTTTCAATCCCATTTTCCATTTTTAAAAGAAAAAGAGGTGTTATTAAAAACTTCTGCCTGAAACGTTTAAGAGCAGTCAGAGCAGACATTGCTAGGCTTTAAGGACAGATTAAGCAATATTCCTTAGTGGTGACCAGAATTCGATTTTGTTAATTTTCTGTGTCAAATCTTAATCCTACTATCACAGATTGATATGACCACCTGTTCTCTATTTTAGTTTTGGTTTATTTGCCCTTCTGAAAGGTAGATCAAACCCTGTTTTCTTATTCATATTTTACGACAGCCTTCCCTAACCAGCTGTCCTTCTAATATGTTGGACAGCTAGTGCCAGAAAGCTAACCTTACTGGTAGTTCTGGGAGTTTGAATTACTCCATGTCAGAGAAGGCTATTTCATAGAGTTGGAGGTTTTCCATTAGATTATAACAGGATTATACAAGAAACTATTTCAGCATTCTGGTATTCTTATATAAAGCTGTTCAATATAGCCAGACTATACACATTTCTGAAGAAACTATCACTGTTTTGATGGATGACTTGAAACAAGAAGAGAATAAAAAGGATATAAAATGCATTGAGTTTCAATAACAGTTGAGAACCTGATTCTCTAGCAAGGGCTTCATATGGTATATTCTTCATCAGAAACTGCACTCTCTTAGCACATCAGCTATGCGCTAAAGACAGCTATCACATGCTATCACACTTGCTTCCACTAAATTTTAAACAGATCTGAAACAGGTGAAGTCAAAGATAGTTTGAAAGCATGTGACTTTTACACCAAAATTGATAAGCTAAAAGGAGAAATGTATGCAACTTATACTTTGAATATCACATTTCAGCTTTGTTTTTTCACCCAGCCTATCCAAACCTACAGCACATTTTGCAATAACTTTTAGTAGTTGATTCTGCTGCTGGAGAGGAGGGAAATCCTCATATTTAGAAATGAAGACCCATTGACTTCCCTGAAGCTCAGGCACCAGAATGCTTAGAACTGGGTCCTGCACAACTCCACCCAGTCCAGACTATCTTCAGTCCTTATTTAATAACTAAACTGTTTATAGATTGCTCTCTGTTATATAGTCTCTTGATGGTATTGTGGATTGGTTGGCTATGATATGCTATGGAAATAGAATTTTTGTGATATTTTCCCATGCCTGTTACCATTTTAATTTAATTTAGTCTCTTTTATCCCCCTCTTTTATTTCCCAAGAGAGCCCCCTGAGAACAGAAATATTTAAAAAAGTTTTTATTTAATTATTATGACAGTTATATCCTGCTGCAATTCAGACAGACTCTCAGAGGTTGTAAGCCTTGCCCAGACATGGAATACAGAGGGAAAATGTATACATATATTTTTTTAAAAGATAAGTTCTATGAAGTCATAAATACGCAGGCAACATCTCCTTGTCAACAGATCTGAAGGCTGGGATGAAACTTATTCTCTAATCTTAATAGAAATGAAATTAGATCCAGTTGTCTTTATGATTAAGGGGAAGAAAGCATATGAATGTTAATTAAAACTCCACTCTAGCTTTGAGATGTTGCATGCAAATCTATAAGGGATGGATTTGCATAAGACAGTCAGACTGCTATTAGATCAGTCTATTACCCAAACAAGAGACAGGTGGAAACCATTCCTTCAACCCAAAAGATATTGGCTTCCCTCACTTACATTCCATGGGCAGGAGAAAGAGATGCAGAAATCTGAATCTTGATTTTAGTATAAAGAGATTTTGCATTTAATACACAGCAGTTGCTGGGATTGCTTCACAATAGCTTCATTAGCTGTTTTATAAGAAATCTACTAATCAGAATTTCTGGTATCGTTGAGTTTTTAATTCATCTTGCCAAGAGAAGTATAATAATCCCACAGAAAAAGTCAAGATTTGCTATCTCTAATTCCAGAGTGCAGGACATGGAATAATGGATTTAAGTGATAGGAAGGTGAAGGCAGATTCCAACTGAATGTTAGAAAAAATATTCCAAAAGTAAGAGCAGTGCAGCAATGGAACCAGTTCTCCAGAGAGTGGTGGCTGCCTTTCCCTGGATGTGTTCAAATGAAGGGTAGACAGCCATTATCTTTAAAACATCTGGATTCCTGCACTGAGCAGTAGGTTGTCTCAATGGCATAATTTGCTTCTTCCAATTCTGTGTTTCTATGAAATCCACAATATTGAAATAATTATTGGGGTTCTATTTTAACTAATTAAGCTTTCCTACTTTGAATGAAAAATGCCAATACGTATGATTATTTCAAATATGAATCATACTTACTTTATACTGGGGATACCTCCACATGTGAGACATAGACAACTGCTTCCTAACTAAGGTCTTGATCAGTTGAACAGCCGTGTAACTCTGTCTAAATGCTTTGCGTTTAGTATAGTGAATCAGGTATGTTTTAGGCAATGAATTGTGACTAAAACATTCACTCCTATATTTTGATAGTGAACGTTGTGGCAATGCTTCAGGAATTCTGGGAGAACAAGCAGAAACAGAAAGGTGTGTTTTCAAGTGAAGGCACTGTGATATACGAGTCACTAAACTTGCCTGGGCCTCCATTTGTAAGCTATGTCACCCTGCCTGGAGGAAGCTGTTTTGGTAATTTTCAGGTAAGAATATAAAAGGTAGAGCATTTAATGACAAAGTATAAAACATTGAAAAAATCTAGTATATCATTCTGATGAGAATGAATTTAGCTCATCAGAATTACATCAATATCATGAGAGCCAAAGACCAACATATCTGAAGGGCAACATGCTGAGAAAAAGGTCCAATGCCCTAGTGAAACCTATGTGGAATTTCTCTCCCATTGGAAGCCCAGACGTTCTCCCCAGCTGTTCCTCAAGGTCTCCCTATCTTCTGGAGCAAATGCTCAGGAGGCTTTAGGGGGTGGAAGAATCAGTGACTATCACTGCCTCCCCTGCCCTCTTTTGTCTGTGGGATTCCTCAGCTGGCTTAGAACCTCCTGGGGTTGGAGGATTCCTTTCATCTACAAAAGGTTCATTGAGACATCTAACAAAAATAACAACATATGGAGGCCAGTCGCTAGATAGCTTTTTCAAAAGGAATGTTGGCAGATAACATTCACCAAATGGATCCTTTAAATCCAAATATAATATTTGTCTCAATGTCATATAGCAGGCAGAAAACAAGGGGCAGCTTTCACCTTTTTATTCATTTCATGTAGACACTTGATGGGATCTGATTTAGGAAGATTCTTCTTAAAGTTCGAAGTTCATATTATCTAGAGTATCTCCCCCAAAGAATAAAGAGATGTTTTTGGAAATATTCCCTATTGATAAACTGCTGATGATATGTCTTCTTTATGCAAAAATAGGTTATACAAACGGCTTTCAAATGTTAGGAAAATCTCTAAGGTTAAAACCCTAAACATACTTGCTAGGGAGTACATTTTGCCAAGTATAATATGACTTGCTTTAAAGTACATTTGCACAGAATTGTCCTGTAAGTGAATTTAATGAAATGTTAATATATTTTGGAGTTGTGCCTAATTAGATAGGGTTTGTGGGGTTTTGTTTTGTTTTGCACTACCATTACTGTTTCAAGGTTGATAACAAATGCTAGAATATAATTACGCTTTAAATGTTTGATGTGTGTAAACTACATGCATAAATATATGTTATATTCAGTAGATTATAGTCTGAGTATAAGATATTTCAACTAGACTAAAAATAAAGGCCATTTTCCCCCCTCAAAAAACTGAAGGTAATTTGTAAAATAAATCTAAAGGAGTGACTCTTAAGTATACACGTAAGCTTTTTGGCACTGAGTGGAATCACACATCATAGTAAATCATAGCTGGTTTGCTTAGTGTTGTGTGAACATAACCAGTTGTGGCATAGTTAGTAAATGATAGTTAAATAAGCCATGGTTTAGCATGAGATGTGAATCAAACCATCTCCACAAACATTACTATATTTGAAAGCAAGAAAACACACTGGGTCCACTGTAGGGAGCAATGCCTTTCTTGGATAATTTCCAATTCTTTTTGCTTGACCTGAGTTCAGCCTGAATTACCTTGATTTATTGAGAACGTTTAAAGCAAGCTGTCTTTAAGTAATATCATTATTAAATCAGGTCAAGATCACAAAAGTTCAAGAGTTGTCAAAAGGCAAAAGAGTGAAGCAAATATGAGAGGAGTAATAGATATTCAAACATTATAGTTGTGATGGAATGTGAGGGTAACCTTGGAAGACAGG